CTGGCTTTGATGTGATGACATCTGTGCCATTTTCTGCATCATTGTACTTTGAGAATAAGTTGTTGTAATGATGCCCCTAGGGTACAAGCCCATGACACCATGCAATCATGGGAAGTACATTGAATGATGCTGTGGGGGTCATTTACTAAAACCAATCAGCTTCCAGGTTTTATTGGCAAAGCTTAATTAATCACTTGCCTACCGGGCACTTATACTCCCTTCCTGCCCAGGCCAATTTTCAGCTTTCAGCGCTGTTGCACTTTGCATGACAATTGCTCGGTCATGCAACACTGTACCCATATGAAATTTGTATCATTTTTTCACACAAATAGAGCTTTCTATTGGTGGTATTTAATCGCCACTGGGTGTTTTATTGTTTGCACTATCAACAAAAAAAGAGCAAAAAATAAAAAAAAAAATTTTTTTCTTTGTTTCTATTATAAAATAGAACTGATGATGCTGCACTGATATGCAACAATGATGGGTACTGATAGGTGGCACTGATAGGCGGCACTGATGAGCAGCACTGATGGGTGGCACTGACTGACGGCACTGACTGGGAGCACTGCTGGGCACTGACTGGCAGCACTGCTGGATGGCACTGCTGGGCAGCACTGATAGGGGCACTGCTGGACACTGGTGGGTGGCACTGCTGGGCACAGGTGGATGGAACTACTAGGTACTGATGGGCACAAGTAGGTGAACTGCTGGGCACTCCTGGGCACAGGTGGGTGGCACTATTGGACACTTGTGGGTGGCACTGCTGGACACAGGTGGGCGGCACCGTTGGGTGGCACTGATCAGTGCCCTGATGATCGGTGCCGATCCGTCCTCTGACAATTGCCGGTTATAGGCAGTACTTTTCTCACGCTATGACAGCATGAGGAAAGTGCAGCCGATAACCGGCAACTGCATTTACCTGTGAGCTGCTGTATCATTGGACACAGCTGATCATGTGGTAAATGGCCTCTGTGATTGGTCTTTTACCACATCATGTCATCATGTGATCAGCTGTGACACAGCAATCATAGAGATCGCTGGGTGCGTGCCCCCCCAGGGGCTCACGGGAGGACGTGTTCTGGGAGGACATCCTATAACGCCCTCCCAGAACTGGACAACCATGCTGTAGCCGTCATTCGGCTATATCGCAGTTGGCAAGAGGTTAAACAAGCTGAAGTTAGAACCTGATTGCCCACCATGCACAGCTGCACCAGATTCTGAGTGCAACAGTTTTAGTAAATCTCCCCTTAGGTGGCAATTAACCTGGAAGACGGGTAACCACTAGTGGTAGAAGAGAAATGCTGCAGAGGGCAGCATCACAGAGGGGGTGAGTATTTGAACCAAAACTGCTATTCTATTTTTACAATGGATGGATGGGGCATTATTTAAAACATTTTTTAAACCTGGAGTTGGGCTTTTTTAATTGGTTGTGTCTGAAACCCATTTACTCTAGATCACTAAAACTGTTGTACAATATCAACCTGAACAAAAGGACCACATCAATTAGAAGCTATTTTAAATAACTTGATTTACTGGTACAAGTCACTCAGCGTGCATTTTATGATGTAGCCCGGTATGTGCCAAGCTTGTAGAGTTCCATTGTAGAACTGAATAGACGAGCGTGATTCCTGCAGAAAGATTTATTAGACTTTATGCCATAAAGGAGACTGGATTATAACTATGCTTACTTTATAAAATGAAATTTGGCCATTATAGGCAAGAGTTCAGAGTTGTAATTATTTCAATGCACTTCCCAATCAATGTGCCTAAGACAGCTGAGCCAAACCCTCTCCTGCCTACGTAGGTCATTGAATGCAAAGTATTACAGCTTCAACAACTTTGTGTGACCTTGCACTGAATAACACTGGAAAATTGATTTGGCTCTAGTAATAAAAGACCGTCTGCATTATCTGCATTCTAATTATAATTAATATGACCAGGATAACTGCTGTATTATTTACGATCAGAGCTAAGGCAAGCGCCGTGTAATAATAATCTGCTACATAATTTTTTTATTGATCTGATGGCTTTATTGCACAAAAACAAAATGCTACACTGCTGCTCTTCCAAAATCACTCTTCTTGATATATTATTTTACATTCGCAAGTCTTATTCAATATTCTCAAAGCCCGGCGGATTTTATTATTTACCAGAATGATGATTACATTCATTGTGTTGGGATTATAGCTGCAGTTTTAAGTGTTTTTTGTTCTCAACAACACAAACAGATGCAAGCGTGATGGATCTGACACCTTTTAACAATCTACTATACAAAAATATGTCAACAGCAACCTTCCAAGGTGCTTTGGACCCTCAAATTAGTCTGGCATCCTGAAGGACCACCATAGTTTTTAAAAGCTCATCTCAACTTAAAGTCGATCTTTGGCCAGTCCTGAGGACTCTGAGGACAGGTGGATATCACTTCAAGTCAAGAGGCCCAGCTAATTTTAGAATTCAACAAAACATGAGTGAGGAGGATGGGTGAAAAGTTGCAACATGGCTAAATGTGTTTGTATACCCAAAAGTTTATTTTTATTAGTTTTGGATAGAAAAAAGAAGAATTATAACCCTTAATTAAAAAACTGCTAAAGTGTATTGCTGTCTGTGGCCTCTGTAGATTCTCAATCTCTGTTTTTAACAGTGACCATTGTCAGAGTAACAGAAAGTGAAGAGCAATAAGAACATACGTTTCGTTATTAATCGATTTTTGGAGATTTGGATGTATATGAATCTTCAAATGGACACAGTAACGAATGTCAACAAATCCAAAAAAGTTATAACGAAACTAACAAATGCATTTGTTTTATTCAGCTGACATCACATGATTTGATAGTAGTCCAGTGAAGTAAAATGAATTCACTTTTTGAATTTGTTCGATAATTTGGATTCAAGTAAATTTGTGATTTAAAATGAATTTGTAATTGTCACAGTCGGTCAGTTCAGTTCTACAGTTTAATGCAATTCTTAGGTTTGAAAAAATTCAAAGCTGACAAAATGAGCATTATATTAATTGCGTTGCATCTGAAAATATCAAATAGTTTCGATAAATGAATAACAAATCTACCCGAAATATTGAAACTGAACTAATATATAGCAATCTTCCAAAAGGAATCCACCTGGGTCAACGCATATATGAAACAAATACTGAAGATATGAAACAAATTCCGAAAATGAATTGGTTCAACATAATGAATTTGTGTTGGGTATGCAACAGCATGTACTATATACAGTATTGTATGTTAATATCACTTGACCAGTAGATGGCACTGTACACTAAGGTTACCAGTTGTGCATATCTGAAAACTTGTTGGTTCTCTCTCTTCTCTCTCTCTTCAAAACCAAGATGTCTGCTGTTACACATTACTGAAGTGTTCTGTATGTTTGCAACTTAAGCCACACAAGTAAACCAAGTTCTGCCTCATCACAAGCTACCAGTGTCTTCTCTAACACATAACCAACATTTGGCAAAAGGAAATTCTTCAATGAACTAATACGTTCGAAACGAAACAAACATCTCTGGCGTGCACATGTCTGATGAGTGACCCAAACTTTTGGAGTTGTAATCAGAAGAGGTTAGGGTAAATCTTCAAATAGGGACACTTGTTCTTGCGACAACTGTCTAAGTTGGGGGATATACCCTCACTTTGTAAAGACTTCCTCTCACTTCCTGTTGCATTTCTTGGACAGCTGTGTAGATATCCCCCCAATGGGATAAAGACTACAAAAAAGATTTCCTTCCTACTCTATGCAAAACTACAAAAAATAAAGTTTTACATAAACTCTAATACTAAGGCTGGCCATAAATTGATTTTTTTTTGATCATCTGATGGACTGATAAAACAAACAAACAACGGATTGCCCCATCCACACAAGCATGGTGAATAGAGGAATCTTCCCCCTCTCTGCTATTGTATTCTAATAGTGGGGACTCTTCACTGTCAGAATACACTGATCAGGCTGCAATAGGCTGCAGCCATTGATCAAGAAAAAAAATTCCAACAGGACTGTTCGTCAGAGGTTGATTGTTAGACCTACTGCTGCTGAGCTGGAGCAGCCACAAATGGATGAAAATTCAGCAACTGGCTGAATTTCCACCCATCTATGGCCAACTTAAAGCTGGGCATGCACCTGGCAATTTTCAGTCAAAATAAATCACATCCCATTCACTCTGATATTAAGCAATCAATTTAAAATCACACCACTTGAAATCACACCTAATAAGACACTAGATGCGACTTCAGATGTGATTTACAAATGGCATGTTGCACCTGAAATCACAGCAGTGTGAACCAGGGCTTAAGGTGAAGGACTTTCTGGACATTATTAACAGGTCAACAAGTGATTTTACTGGTTGCCTAGTTTCTCCTTAGAAAAGAAAAGCCTTCTGCATGGATATCCATATAGAGTAGATCTACCGTATTTTTCACTCCATAAGACACACTTTTTTCCCCCAAAAAAAGGGGGGAAATGTCAGTGCGTCTTATGGAGCGAATATAAAGTGGCCGGTCTGGTATTTCCGCCGCCACCATGTCACAATACCGGGCCGGCCACTCAGCTGTTCTCAGTGGCAGGAACTCACCTGTTCCTCAGTCCAGCGCTGTAGTTTTCCCACGCAGGCTTCTTCCCGCCCCGGCATCTGTGACACCCGGGTGCCCACTGCGCATGCGCAAGAAGCGCTGCGCTTTGTGAATGGTCCGGTGTCTTCTGGGACACATGACAGGTCCCAAAAGACGCCGAGCCATTCACAAAGCGCAGCGCTTCTCGCGCATGTGCAGTGGGCACCTGGCTATTAAAGTCGGGTGCCCACAGTATAGGAAAGAAAACTCCGCGGAAGTGGGAGCGGGTACCTGTCAAATTCAGGTACCCACTCCCCCTCCCTCCCTAAAGGTCCGCAGTGTCTGGTCATGCCCTGTACTGTCTGCAGTCTCTTGGTCATCCCCTGTACTGTCTGCAGTCTCTGGTCATCTGTACTGTCCGCAGTCTCTGTTCATCCCCTATACTGTCCGCAGTCTCTGGTCATCCCCTGTACTGTCCGCAGTCTCCTTGTCATCCCCTCTACTGTCCGCAGTCTCCGGTCATCCCCTGTACTGTGTCCGCAGTCTCTGGTCATCCCCTGTACTGTCCGCAGTCTCTGGTCATCCCCTGTACTGTCCGCAGTCTCTGGTCATCCCCTGTACTGTCTGCAGTCTCTGGTCATCCCCCTGTACTGTCTGCAGTCTCTGGTCATCTCCTGTACTGTGTCCACAGTCTCTGGTCATCTCCTGTACTGTGTCCACAGTCTCTGGTCCATTTCCTGTACTATGTACGCAGTCTCTGGTCATCTCCTGTAGTATGTCCGCAGTCTCTGGTCATCTCCTGTACTGTGTCCGCAGTCTCTGGTCATCTCCTGCACTATGTCCGCAGGCTCTGGTCATCTCCAGTACTGTGTCTGCAGTCTCTGGCCATCTCCTGTACTATGTCCGCAGTCTCTGGTCATCTCCTGTACTATGTCCGCAGTCTCTGGTCATCTCCTGTACTATGTCCGCAGGCTCTGGTCATCTCCTGTACTATGTCCGCAGTCTCTAGTCATCTCCTCTGTACTATGTCCGCAGGCTCTGGTCATCTCCTGTACTGTGTACGCAGTCTCTAGCCATCTCCTGTACTATGTCCGTAGTCTCTAGTCATCTCCTGTACTATGTCCGCAGGCTCTGGTCATCTCCTGTACTATGTACGCAGTCTCTGGCCATCTCCTGTACTATGTCCGCAGTCTCTAGTCATCTCCTGTACTATGTCTGCAGTCTCTGGTCATCCCCTGTACTATGTCCGCAGGCTCTGGTCATCTCCTGTACTGTGTCCGCAGTCTCTGGTCATCTCCTGTACTGTCTGCAGTCTCTGGTCATCTCCTGTACTGTGTCCGCAGGCTCTGGTCATCTCCTGTACTGTGTCCGCAGTCTCTGGTCATCTCCTGTACTGTCTGCAGTCTCTGGTCATCTCCTGTACTGTGTTCACAGTCTCTGGTCATCTCCTGTACTATGTCCGCAGTCTCTGGTCATCTCCTGTACTGTGTCCGCAGTCTCTGGTCATCTCCTGTACTAGGTCCTCAGTCACTGGTCCATCTCCTGTACTGTGTCCGCAGTCTCTGGCCATCTCCTGTACTGTCCGTAGTCTCTGGTCCTTCTCCTGTACTGTATCTGCAGTCTCTGGTCATCTCCTGTACTGTGTCCGCAGTCTCTGGTCATCCCCTGTACTGTATCTGCAGTCTCTGGTGATCTCTTGTACTGTGTCCGCAGTCTCTGGTCATTCCCTGTACTATGTCCGCAGTCTCTGGTCATCTCCTGGTCATCTCAGTCGATCCTGAATACGGCTGCCAGACTCATTCACCTTTCCAACCGCTCTGTCTCTGCCACCCCCCTCTGCCAATCCCTCCACTGGCTTCCGATTGTGCAACGGATCAAATTCAAAATCCTAACGCTGACGTACAAAGCCGTCCACCATACTGCCCCGAACTACATCACTGACCTAATATCCAAGTACCGCCCAGCACGCACACTCCGCTCCTCACAAGACCTCCTTCTTTCTAGTACCTTGGTCTCCTCCTCCCATGTCCGCCTCCAGGACTTTTCCAGGCTGTCACCCATCCTCTGGAACTCCCTGCCCCAACCCATCAGATTATCACCTACTCTCCTCTCCTTTAGGCGCACCCTGAAAACCCATCTCTTCAGGGAAGCCTACCCCACCCCCCTGCTAACTTGCCGACCTCCTCCACTCTTCCTACCACTCCATCCCCCACAGCTATCTCCTCCTGTACCACTATCCCCTCCCTCCTAGATTGTAAACTCGAAAGAGCAGGGCCCTCGATCCCCTCATGTTTTGCATTGTATTGATATTGTTCTGTCACATGTTCTGTCCCCCTTTGTAATGTACATCGCTGAGCGCTATTGAACTATTGGCGCTTTATAAATACTGTATAATAATAATAATCTCCTGTACTATATCCGCAGTGTCTGGTCATCTCCTGTACTATGTTTGCAGTCCATTGGTTCAGAATATTTTTTTTCTTGTTTTTTTTCCTCTAAAACCTAGGCGCGTCTTATGGTCAGGTGCGTCTTATGGAGCGAAAAATCCTTAAATGAATGACATTTAGGGGTTGGTTTACTAAAGGCAAATAGACTATGCATTTTGCAAGTGCGATTGCTCCAGAGCTTAGTAAATGTGGGCTTCACTTTACAAAAATAGACAATCACATGCAAGAAAAAAAGAAAATACAGCATTTTAGCATGCACATCAATGGATAATGGAAGCCAGCAGAGCTTCCCCTCATTCACTAAGCTCTGGCACAACTGTACTTGCAAAGTTCACGGTGTATTTGCCTTTTGCCTTAGCTTCCTGAAGCACTGTTTATCATAAACAAGACATTATTTTTTAAAAATACCATTTTCACCTTTTTTATCTTTTGTTACAACTCGGCTCTGCTGATCTCTTGCAGCTCTTTAACACTTCCTGTCTACATGCGTGTGTCCACGTGACAACATAAGAGCACAATTGGTAGACAGGGACATAGTCTTGTCACCTTCCAACAGGAAATGCCTGCACAAGGGCCTACAAGAAATGATTTTCAGGTATGATTTGAATGAAAGCTGCAGATTTAAAATGATTGAAAATTACTTTTGAAATGACATTAAAATGTATAAGTTTATACAAGATTTTACTTTATTAGGTTTACATATACTTTAAATGCAGTCCGACTCTACAGGAAGCCATATTCAGTCTTCATATCTATTTTTAAGGCAAAACTCTTGTGAAACAAGTACCTGCTACTCTTGTTATTTATTACAGTTAATGGGCTCATCAAGTTTCACTTAAGCAAATCCATTAGCGGCAATCATCTAGAAATATTTTGTGGTTAAACAACCTTTAGATGATCTACGATAAAGTACTATTGGGGAGGTGGCAAGCTGAAACCTCTCAGTTCTAGGACTGTAATGTTTTCTATAATATAAATGGAACAGTTCTGCTCCTGGTACCTTTGTAAGTTTTGGCAGTTTTCCATTAAAATAAACCTATAAAAATAAACCCATAAAACAATATGGAAAACACATTTCTATTTGATAGTGTATAAAAAAAGAAAATATCAGAATTTATGATCTCCAGCAGGTGTATTTAACATCCCACCAGCAGATATGAATTTTATTTTACCACCATACATATAGCTATTTATATACGCACCAACAGTGCTCCTGAAGGGAAAAGGTATGGTCCCATTTTGATCTGGTATGATATAAACAGAATAGAGTAGAAGACATTTGGAAAATGACATGACAAGAAAAAAGAGGGGCAAGCATTCTTCCAGATGTGGGGATTTATGGATTTTGTTCTTAAAGGACCCCCCACAGGCCTCTTCCAGCTCCCTGAACCACTTGCCCTCCTGAGGATTTACCCTCCTTCCTGACCAGGCCATTTTTTGCGACATGGTGCTGTGTTACTTTAATTGACAATTGCGCGGTCATGCATTGCTGCACCCAAATTAAATTTACGTCCTTTTTTTCCCACAAATAGAGCTTTCTTTCGGTGGTATTTGTTCGCCTGTGTGTTTTTTATTTTTTGTGCTGTAAAAAAAATTTGACAATTTTGAGAAAAAAAACTATATTTTTGACTTTTTGCTATTAAACATGTCCAGTAAAAAAAAATCTAATTTCATCATAAATTTAAGCCAAAATGTGTTCTGCGACATGTCTTTGCTAAACAAAATCCCAATATGTGTAATTTAATTGGTTTACCTGAAAGTTATAGTGTTTACAAATGGCGGTACAGATACTGGAATTTTTTTTTTCTTTCTAGCAATGGCGGCGATCAACGACTTATAGCAGGACTGCTGGACTGCGGTAGGCATTCTGACACTGGGGGAATTTGATGTCACTGACGTCCCCAGTGACACCAAGACAGATTGTAAGCTCCAAGGATCAGGCCCTCCTATCCCTCTTGTATTGAACTGTATTGTTGCTGTATTGTCTCCCGTTATGTTATAAAGCGTTGAGCAAACTGTTGGCACTATATAAATCCTGTATAATAATAATACAGCTTTCAGTGCTAATAAAAATCACTGACACTGTACTAATGGCCCTGGGCAGGAAGGGGTTGACATGTGGGCCGGGACCCGGTGATTGACATCCGAGGCCACGAATGGTGGTAGGGGTAGTGCATGCATGTGGCTCGCACACGTCCCCTACCGGGAACTGTATAATCACGTATATATACGTGATTTTGCGCACCCCTGCCGCCCTTTAGCAGTATTTCCGCTATAGGGTGGAGGGGAAATGGTTAAAGCAAACTAAATTCCCATCATAAAAGACTGCAAACGGGCAGGCTCTTTATTGCAGAAGAGACATGCATACAATAAATGTACCTACCTGCTCTCAGTCTCCCTTGGGATTTACACTGAACTGTACAAGCTCAGTTAAGTTTACATTTTACCACAGGATAACTGAACCCCCGTGCATGTGCAGGAGTGACATCATCCCATTCCGACCAATGAAGATGGTCGCAGCCCGTTACCTGGATTAAACCAGGAAAAAAATGCCGGCGCTGGCAAGAGATGTCGGACCATTAAAGAAAAGGCAACATTAGTTCCGCTTTAGCCCCAGTTCATACATGTGCATTTTCTGATGCAATTTCAGAGTGCAAATTTGCATCACAAGTAAAATAGAATGTGTTCCTACTGAGAGCGTTCCAATAGATACAGTGAAATCACAATGCGATTTGGAGAAAGGGTCCTATGTAACTTTGATCCGATTTTGCTTGTGTTTCTGCTCACCTGGCTTGTGCAGAATAAGAGAGAGATCTTTTAAATCACATGGAAACTGCAGGTCAAATTGCACTGCTGAATTGCACCGCTGATGTGTGAACCAGGGCCTAAGTATTCTAAAGTGAGGTTTTTCTATGCAGGTCATTAAATACCTACTCCAGTGGCAGCAGCCTCCCATGTTGTTTATAGTTTGGCCTGTATTTGCTGCAATACTCTCCCTCAATCCTCAGCTGCCCCCCTGCAGTAACTATTTTCTATCGCTAGATGTCCTCAGCCTTCCAAGCTGGATGATATCCAACCAGCTTCCTCTGATCCCAGATTGCCACAGACCCACTTCCTGGGGGTGCATCATCATGAAGCTCAGCTCAGAATATTGTACTGTACTGAGAAGAGCTCACATGTCTGCTTCTGTCAGAATAGTGGAAGGACCAGTGATGTCCTTGAACTGCGCAGGAGATCCTTAGAAAAAAAAATATACACTGCTCAAAAAACTTAAAGGAACGCTTTGAAAACACATCAGATCTCAATGGGGAAAAATATCATGTTGGATATCTATACTGATATGGGCTGGGCAATGTGTAAGGAACGTAAG